ACCAAATGGTCGTTATACAGTTGTAAATGATTGGACCCAATGTCATTCCGTTAAGATATGATTAATTCTGTTCTATACATCTGTTATCTGTTGGACCCGAGGTCGTTCCGCTATCTGTTGGACCCAAGGTCGTTCCATTACAAATTGTTTATGATATGGGATTGCATATGTTACTTAAAAGAACTCATTCATATAATCTCTTTACTTCGATGTTATTCACTGGGCATTAACTCACTCCGTTATATATACGTATGTAGGTGAGTAGCGAGGTGTCTAACCTGAGCCTTAGTGAACCTACGAAGGATGCCAAGTTTTTGTTAAGTCTGTCACGAGCACCTCACAATGTAAATTCCCTAAGAATCGTCTCGTTTCATCCCATATGACCAAAACTCCCCCCAACCTCACACAAGAAGGTAAAAAGGCCCACTTACGAAAATGCGACCCCCCAAATACTTTTAATCAAAGACCAATCACACAATTCACTCTTCCTCTCCTGAAGCATCACAATATACGGCTGATAAACTTTCAAGAATTCTTTAATCACTGCCCTCTTTGTATAGGACCCTAGTCCTCTAATTTTCCAGCTTAGAATCTTCATTAAAAACCATCATTTCCCCTTAACCCCTTCTCTCTTCCCTCATAATTAATACCGCTTTCAAGATTCCTCAACTCCCTTGCCCCTCTCTTTTGCCCACTAGTCCTACGACTACTGCTCCCCCTATTCACAGATACATTCTTCTTACTTCTGGATTTCTTTCCATTGTTCCTCACCAAAGATAACCCTAAGGTATCTAGTAAATTCGCAAAATAAGACACATCCCCCTCTTCTAGGGGGAAGGATACATACTTACTCATATCTCTCAACCACCTTTCTGTCTCATCTACTTGTTCCCTACAAACTCTATTCTCATCAAGCCTATGATTGCTAGAGATATCTCCCTCGAACAACCACTTGTGTGACATTCCTCATTAATCTCAATATGAGTTACACAGTCATTGGTAATACATCTATTTAAGGGTAAATGCGACACAGAATCAACCCTAACGGAAACCATTCTATTGGACTGTAAAGAACCAGGAACATCCTGCACCCCTTCCCCAGAAACTGACTCAGAATGAAGACTCTAGTTATGTTTTGAAAGTGAAGAAAACACGTTGTCCCGCTCAAAAGAGTCACATACCTTTTCAGCTGAATTGAAGTTGAGGACCTTCTCACACTCTGATACCTCAGTGTACTCCTTGCAAGAGGAAGTCAGAATCTCTTCATCTTGGACAAACTAGTTGAGCTTAGGATCAAAGTCCTCCTCTCGAACCTTGTTGCTTTCATTTTCAACTTGATCGATTGATTCATTAGAGCTATCAGTCGACCCATACTCATCGAGAGCCTGCAACACCTCATGGGGAATAAATTCCCCCTCCACATCACACACTAGCCTTTCAATTCCATTGGCCTCATCATCACGAAACTCAACCTCCCTCTCCATGTCGCAACCTCCTTTCGAGAATCCACATAGCAATGCGTCACTTTTCGATCTGTCGATAATATCCGCCAAGCCCAGTTGGGTCTCAGACTTGTTAAGGTGTGAAATTGGGTCGTCAAAGATCCTTTTCCCATTACATTGTGCATCGTCTTCCTCAATAGCTCTCGTCGACTCCTTTTCTCTTCCACCAAGCTCGTCAATCGACTCAACAAAATCCCTAGTTGGTAATTCCTCATGACCTGACCCATGAGGCGTACACACATTCACCCTAGAATACAGCCTAACTTTGTTATTGTTAATGTGTGGCCCATTAACAATGTTTAGCCCAATATCCCTCTAATGACAATAAAACCCTGGGTTTGAGAAGATTGGCCTATAGGTCTTATGATTGGACCATGATTTGGCCCAATCTCTCTAAAACAACAATTAACAGTGACCGGCCCAATATCCATCTGAATGATAGCAAAACCCTGGGTCTAAGAAGATTGGCCCATAGGTCTTATCACTGGACCACGATTTAGCCCAAGCTCACTAAAACGATGGCACATTTCTGGTCTTGACCCACCGTCCACATGTAACCCATTTGTAAACCTTAGGCCAAATCATTATTCAGCCCATCACCCAACCCAACCCCATGTCATGTCTTATCTGATGGGTTTATTGTTTTTATTTTGAGGGCGTTACACAACCCAACCCCATGTATCTCTTTCCTTCCCTCCTCACCCAATGCCCCAAGAGCAGAATCATTCGACTGATTGTCTGGCGCCTCTTCGATTCCAGCATAATCACTCTTCGAACAATCCAACTGTCTTGCCCTGTTGTCTTTGCCAAGTATCAATCCTGCCCCTTCTAACTTCTCATCTTTCCCACTTCTGCCACTTGGGTTGCTTGAGAAATCTTGCCAGAAAATCCATTGCCGATGATCCTCCTTTTTCCTATCAGACTTTAACAGAGAACCCAGCCAACTCTAACTCCAAGATCGCTGGCAGAAATCCACACTCATAACCCCTTACCTTCAATCTTCCTTCAAAAAGATTTTCAAAGGATTTGGTTCTTCGATTGACTTCCAATAATCCTCCACACTTCTTTCCAATCAAGTCAAAAGTGTCATGATTCCACAAGTTCAAAGGTAGGTCATAGACAGCAACCCAACCTCCATATGATGCAATAACCCCAGAATAGCTATGCCTTTCCTCCACCCACTTTTCCATCTTCACTGCTATGCCTCTGTCGAAGAATCGCAAACCATAATTGCCAATGATCTCTGCCTCATTTCTATTAGTGGAAAGGAACAGAGCTCGATTTAACTGAAACGAACGAAGAACAATAGTCTTCCTTAGATACCTGCTCAATTCCTTTTCAATTTGAGCCCAACTAACAAAGAAATCAGTCGTAGTGCATACCACAATACAATCCATATTTGAATCAGAAAAAATCATCTCAGGCTTTCATGTCTCACCTATAAATAAATCTGCATACAGTCTTGCCCTGTTCGTCCCTATTTTTTGACCTTCTACCATTCGACGTGAGGTCCTCCACTGCGACCCTAGTCCTTTGCAACCTCTCTCTGCCTCTCACCTTCCCTGCCCTTCCTCCTCATCTCTTCCTCATTCCTCTTGTCATTGAGGTCCCTATTAATGGTATTTCCAAGCATCTGAGCCATGTCTGCCCAAGCACGATCATTACTCCCCGCCGGAACAATGATATTGCTCATTTCTCCCCTACCACCCATTTGGATATCTCAATAAAGAACCCTTTCTTATTGTTGAATCTGTGTAAACAAAAAACTGCTAAACTACTACTATATTTGCTGAAGAGTTTGCCTTCACTAATCTTCCCCCATGCTTCTCTCAGAGTTTGCATTGCCCAAAAAGCTCCTCCCAAGTCAATCTTCAAGGAAAAACTTCGTGAACAATTTCTCTCAATGATCTCTACTAACCCCCCTCTTGACGACTCATCAATCTGAATGATGATAATCTTCTGCTCAATCCTCAGTTTTGAACTTTTCCCCCTCTAAACTCTCATGGTACAAAAACTGTGAAATTTGGATCGATTGGCCAAGTCATTCTTTATGTTCCCTAATTCTTTCATATATCTTATAAATTAATTGAACCAGGAAAGCATAATATGGAGAAAGCATTAAGAGCACTAACACAGTAAGCACTAGGACTAAAGAGCATTACGACAGTGAATAGAGGAGAACTAAGGAACCATATTGCCGGAGTTATTACCTTTATGCTTTTAATTATGTAATTGGAGTCTGTAGAGTTTTGTCTAATGTTATGAGGCCTAGGCGGAAGGCGCAACGAGGCGCAGGTGCAGCGCCTGAAGCAATCCAAGGCGAGGCAAGATGAAGAAGGCACGCGCCTTTTGCATAACTTGGCCAGGCGAACAAAGGCGCAAGTTGTACGACTGTTTGCGACTTGTTCTTTTTTGGTTTTTGATTGAATCTAACAGTTGATATTGTGTTTTTAAAGGCCTCAATCACAAAGGATTAGAACTCTGAGCTATAGTACTCAATAGCCAGCCCCAAATCAATTTGAAATGCGCTAATCAATTCGAAAGAAAGAAGAAATCTTGCGGTGTCTCTTCTCTTCCCTTCGGCTCGTCTAGTCCCGTCTATAGCCCGGGTGAGTTCTTTTGCTTCTTCTTCTTCTCCTTTTCTCTTCTTCTTCGCTGCCTGGGTTCTTCTTCTTTGACTTTTTTTTTTGAAGAAACCTTACAGTGTCTAAGTGTCTCTTCCCTTAGGCTTGTCTCGTCTTGTTTGGACTAGGTAGTTCTTCTCCTTCTCTTCTTCTTTGTCTACTTCTTCTTCTTCTTCTTCTTCTTCGCTGTCTCTATTTTTTTTGCATCTGTCTAAATTTTTTTTTTGCTTCTTCGCTACTCTGTGTTATTTTTTTTTCTTTTGCTTATTCAATGTGTTGGCTGGGTTATTCTTCTAATAATCAAATAGAGATAATTGATTTTCTTTTTTAGTTGAGAATGTCATCAAGGATGACATCATCTTGCACTTGGAATTTTTAAGTTGATGATATGACACTACTTTGTTTGCCAGTTAACTTTCAATTTGGAAACACTGATTAGCTACATAAATTTAGTTATAGTTTCACTTACAAAAAGCTTCAAATGAACATCAACTTACCAAAACAAAAAAAAAATCCTTTTCAGTGTTTCAATTGCAAAAAGCTTTATATATATATATATATATATCTTTTGTGAAATGTGGATTATTTTATCTTTGAAAATTGAAATGCTATGTAATATGCACTTTTATAATTAAATACAGAAAACAAAAAAGTACTATTTTCTAAAAAGTGGATTCTGGAAATCAAAATCAAATAGAGTGATTAGTAGTTGTTATATATTTATGTTTTGGATGTTTGGTTTTTTTGTGTGTGTGTGTGTGGGGGGGGGGGAGGGGGAGTGATTAGTAGTTGTTATATATTTATGTTTTGGATGTTTGGTTTTTTTGTGTGTGTGTGTGTGGGGGGGGGGGGGGGGGGGGTTAGGGTTTTAAATGTGGGTTATTTTACCTTTGAAAATTCAAATGCTATGTAATATGTATTTTTATAACTTTGAGAATTATTCTATAATTTGCCTCAGTTATTTATTTATTTATAAATTGCCTTTGTACTAACATGCTACGAATCATTAGTCTATGTTCATTTATCTATTTTTTATTAAGACTGTGCCCCTTACTTCAATAAAGCCTGCACCTCGCCTTGTGCCTAGGCCCCAAGAGACCTTCGGCGCCTCGTTGCGCCTTGAGCCTTTAAAAACACTGATTTTGTCCTTGGCCATCGGTGAAGGATGGTATTGTTTGTTGATTAATAGGTGCCATGTGTAGGGTTTGCGTGTTAGATTATTTAATAATAGTTGTCGATGGACATTGTGAATAGACAATTCTATTTGTGTGTCGTGAACTATGTTGTTAGAAAGAAATTGGAACGATTGTGATGTTGTTCATGTTATGAGATTGTCGTTGGATAGATAGTTTGGGTGAACGATAACCATTAACTAGTTTTGGTTTTGGTGATTAGTAACTCATATTGTATTTTGGAAATGTTTTGAAAATGAAAGAAAACCCATTGTTGAACAGTGCTGCACGGAGCACATTTTGCAAGAATGGTTAATGCATCTAATTAGTAGAGGTTACTGCTGTGTTGAATGGCTTAAGTGTATGTATTACACTCGTATACTAGTTATGTATCTTGCGTCTTGTGATATGGATTGGGGGTCCGTTTCCTGCCGGGTGAGGCCGGTAAAACGTGATGCCTTCACAGAGGTTCCTCTCCCTTCTGGTTTGCGCCTGGTAAAGTGTGAATGGAGGTCCGTTTCTCTCCGGGTGGAGCCGGTAAAGCGTGGCACCTTGTGATAGGTTCTCCTTCCTTTTGGTTTGCGTCCAATAAAGTGTGACCTTGGGGTCGTTCCCCTCCGAGTGAGGTTGGTAAAGGGTTGTGTTATGTAGGTTGTATCATTTGCCATCCGTGTTGTATGCCCGTGGAAATGGAATTGGAAGTATGTATTACTCTTAGCTTTTTTTTTGGGGGGGATGTATGTGTTTCTCAGTTTCATATTGTGGGTGTCCCTTGCCCTTGGACCTATGGCCAGGAAAGGTGGTAGATGTATTGTAGATGCATATAGGGTATTGGCATGTGGGGTCGGGTTATGACTAGTACATGTCCAGTATGTGTGAACGTGTTTTCAAAACTGTTTAAATGGAATTCTTTTATGTCAAAATGGAAGGTTTTTATTAAAAGAAAGCGAGGTTTTGCAATTTTTTGTAGTGAAAAGGAAGTTAGAAAGACAAGTTATTTTCTACTGTGTTGTGTTAAAAAGATAATTTTTGGGGGAAAATATATTTATATAAGTATACTTTTGGATATAAACCGTCACATTACTTATACGGTAGGTTGTGCATGCATGATCATATCTAACTATATGTTGTGATTGGTTAGGATCTTTGGAATCTCTACAGGGCATTGTGCTCATCCCACATATTGACAAATTTTTAGGTACATGGCTAGAAGATTGTTCAGGACTTGAAGTCTTTTGTTATGTTTGGCTACGGGGCCTTTTATTTGTTGGTTGAATGCCACGCATTATATAAGGGTAGATCCCTTTTATTTATTGTTATTTGATGTAAGCTTAAAGACATTGTACCAGATTTTATCTATATGCCATCATCACATCGAGAGTGAACGTTGTTATGTACTTAAATTTTTGTTGGCTTGTGTTTGATATTTTCAAATTAGTAATAATATAAAGGATTTGGTAATAAAAGCTGGGGCATTACAAGTTGTTTGGATCATCTAGCAAATCCATAGTTTCCATTCATTGGGAATTTCAATATAAATGGGAAGAAAAAAAATACTTAGGAAGAACAATAATCTACTTGGTTAAAAAAAAAAACCCACGAGCACCTGCTAGTCAAAATCCACTAGATCAAAAGTATAATACAAATGCTTAGGTAAACAACTTACATCCCTACCCTAGATGCGTTAGCCTCGACACCTTCCCCTTCAAGCTCGAAAGTTCAAACTCCACTTGTGGCTCTAACACTACTACTATCAACATAATTTTGTCTACATGTTCACTCCTTGTGACTACGATCAGAATTGGCTAGTTGCCAGGAATTACCAATGCATTCAAAGTGATCCAAGTGCTTATGATCTGTATGTAATTTTTATCAAAACAATCAAAGGAGGGTTTTCACAAATTAAAGCTCATCAACATAAGATTCTTCTTCTATATATACATGTACAAAAAGTCTCTAAGGTACTCTTGTTTTTATGTCTTTGTGTATCAGATAGAAAAACATCAACTCCTTAATTCCGAAGCCAAGTTGTGAAAAGATTCAGAGATCCGTAGGCCTGCTCAAGCACACATTGGGAGAGCTTCCAGTCCTAGAATTTGGATTTTTTATGGCAATTGAAGTACCTGTGTGTCTACACAAGAAATGATAGTTCTATTAAAGTGGGTAAAAAACAACGCTCAATTAGTACACATTAATGTGTGTTTGTGAGGGGAAAGATTGGGTACACACCTAACCTTTGACATAGTGCATAAAGTGGTTGCCCTATGACTTGAATCCATAACCTCAAGGTTATTAGGCCAAGATTCTATTAAAGTGGGTCCATGATTAAAAAAAAGCAAGTTAAAAGTTATTAGTGAATGATACGGCATACATCTACATAACTGCATTGCACAGACTCCTAATATTACGGAGGTGGCAATTTTTTAGCACTACAAGATAATTCCACTAGGGAAAAGAAAAAAAAAGTACTGAGTCAAAAACAAGTGAAAAACTATAACTTAGCAAATAAGAAGGTCAAGTCCAAGTTAAAAAGAAACGATGTGAGTGAACCCACCAAATGAGCCTCAATCTATCAAACCACCAACCACTTAATAATACCTGTTACATACCAAAAATAATTCCAAGTCAGTTTTTACACCCTTTCATTTACAAGCTTACCCATTTCCAGCAAAGTCAAAGCGGAAGGCAGTGATTCCTTCTTTTTCTAAAGCAACAGCAACGTTCACCATAATGTCCCGTTCCTGGAGCAGAAACATGAGCTATAAGATCGTTCCCACAATCAGCAAAAAACATCAGATAGTCCAAGAATGACCTTATGTAAGCTATCAATGGAAAAGTAGTTTGAAGAAAATATTCTCAAAATAGCATGACTTATATTTGGCTATTTCAAGATCTCCCAAAACAGCAAATGGCTAAATTGAGTGCTGCACATTTTTAAAGGCTTTCTATCATTTCTCAACTCTTAACTGACTTGATTAATTTACCACTAATAGTATGCACTAGAAGAAACCAGTGCAAAAAAAAAAAAACCCTCATTTGCTCACCCAAAAAAGAGAAAATGAGTCCCACTTTACTGCAACACAGGCAGGTTCATATTACTTCTCTATTATTATGAAGTTTCTTAAACTGGAGCAAGTAGCAGATTTACAACAATTGATAACTCCCTAAGGTGACACAAGAATAATACAAGCTAAAGAAACAATAAAAATTGCTCCCACCAAGCTATTTTATAGGATAAACAGCAATGAGAACACCTATATGCATCAAATATTTATAAGTTCAATTTTTAAAAAGACCTAATCAATATGATCTGCATTCTACAACATTAGACATGAATACTTTGCTTTCTAAGTTTCTAACATATAATACAACACAATTTGCCAATCTCAAGAGGTTAGAATAACTTTTGTTGTCTACTTGCCTTACTATGTCTTTGATTGATTTGATAGAGGGAAAAATTAGCATTTAATAGTAGAGTAGATGCACTACAAACATACTAAAACACAAATAAAGCCTCAACATCATAATTACCATTATGCATCATAACCACACTAGACAGCAAAATCCAGCTTCAAGTTCGAGTATCATCATTACTGACCTTTGTGGATCGAAAACCATGGCACAATATCACAATCTCCACAGATCCAGTTTCATGTAGTATGCCAACAAGTTTTTCGCCAAACTTGTTTGGTATTGTGATTTTCTGTTGCGACGCCGGCATTACCGAAACATTCACTAGAAACATCACAGATGGTTCTTAAGAGGACAACAATAACACAAAAATCTCTCTTTTCATACTAAGTACAACTATACACAGCCAGCTCTGAATTCTGTCCACAATAAATCCTCATAGAGTCATCATCTGAAGTTTCATTTATAAATCACAAAATACTTTACAGTCAATATTTTTGTGGATGCTATCACTAACTATTTCTATTATGTGCTGCATGAAAAAACATTGCTAGTAATAAAGAAGTGAAGCTTTTTTAATCATCTAGTCTGTATGTCATTTGATTTGTTCTATGAGGAACAACCAACAACTAGTTGTTGTGACTTATTCCAATCCACACACGGGTACTCAACAAGCAAAGATTTTCCACACCTAATTAACAGTTATATTTCTCCATCAATAATTAAGAATCACATACTGCCACAACTAATTCACTCCATTAAAATCAACAAACAATGACTAGCCACGATTAAGAGCACGTCCAATCCTCAACCAATTCTGTCAACACTCAATATTATTACTCGAATTTGATAATTTTTTTTAAAAAAGAGTACGGATTGATTTAATCAAAGTTTCACTCAAATTTAAATGAAAAGAAGAAAAAAAAAAGTTAAAAAAGGATTGAAGATCGGGATTATATTTCTCATTCTAATATACATATATACATATATATATATATATATATATGAATCGAAAGATTGTCGCACCAGAATTTTGTGAAGCAGGCAGAGACATGTTGAGTGTTGTTGTTACTCGATGTGTTGCCATAGATTAATCAATAGAATACCTGCGCTGTGCCTTCACTCGTGAATGACTCACTGACTCACCCCTCTCTCTCTCTCTCTCTCTCTCTCTCAAGTTCCGTCGGTAATAGCGAGACAGAATAGTGGAGCACAGTGACTTGAAACTACGGGAACAGAATGAAATTCAACATATTCTGCTACACTCCCCTTTCATTATTTTTATTTTTATTTTTCTTTTTTTATTTTTCTTTTTTAAAAATTCTCATAAATTTTTGAAAAATTTACCTATAAATCTTATATTAAGGAATGATGATCCATTTATTCTCAATAATATTTTTTATAGATTAATTAGTCTAATTGATTTTGGAAAGGTAAATTTAATATATTACTTGAAAATTAGATTTACGATTATATCCTTGTATCTACTATATTTGTTTCTCTTTCTTCTTCTTCTTTTTTTTTTCTTTTGTGCTAGAAAAGTAAGTTTCATAATCCATGGGAATTAAATTTTGGATGAATTGTATATGGGAATTTTTTTTATCTAGAAAACATTTTATAATGAGTACAAAAATTATTCAAACATTCCTTCAAACTTTTTAAAAGGAGTACAAAAAACTTCTTGGTAAGCTTTAGGCAAATGTATTCAAACTTTAACACTCTAATGTAACACTCAAATATAACACTTCAATATAAAACTCCAAAAAAAAAAAATTTACTATACTTTTTTCAAATGTAACACTCCAATATAACACTCTAAAAAAACTTTCTAGTGTAAAAACTCTAATGTAACACATAAAAAAACTTTTTACTGTACTTTTTTCAAACGTAACACTCTAATTTAACACATAAAAAAAATGATATGGAATTCTTCAAATAATTCCAAAAGGATTGTGGGATTCTTCAAACCATTCTAATAGGAGTACAAAAATTCCTTAGTAAACTTTGAGCAAATTTATAATTTCAAATTGTGAGTGTTATGTTTGGAAAAAATATATTTAAGAGTTTTTTAGTGTTTTTGTGTGTTACATTGGAGTGTTATGTTTGAAAAAAGTACACTAAGGAGTTTTTTTTGGAGTGTTATGTTGTTACGTTTAGAAAGAGTGGACTAAAATTTTTTTATTAGAGTGTTGCGTTATTGGAGTGTTATATTAAAGTGTTACATTTTTATTCGTAATGTAGGATTTGCTTCAGAATGAGGAAAAATCCAAAAACTCTATAGTGTAGATTGCTCAAATATGTAATATTACATTTGAAGAAACTCACTTTTCTCCCTAAAAAGAAAAAATTAAATCGAAACATGTAAGTGACTACCTTTTGTATAATTTTCAATTTATGGGACTTTTGGATTCATAACCAAAAAAAAAATAGTTTACAAAATCATATTTTGAGATTTATTGATACTTCACTCCATATATATTATGATAAAAGTTTCCAAAATTATCAAAAAAAAAAAAAAAGGGTTGTATCAAGGAAAGACTTCTTCCACAGGAACATTCCTAACCTCAAAATATATTCCTTGTGATTCAACCAATCTCACTGTACATGTAACCGAAGAGTCAAAAGGCATAATGTGGGTGTTTGGTAAAACTTAATTTCAACTTAAAGCAGCTTTTAGCTTAAATTAAGTTGTTATGGTGCGTTTGGTACAACTTATGAGGATAGCTTATGGCTTAATTTAAGCCAAATTTCAGCTTAAATTCGAAGCAACTCAAAGGGAGCTTATGAATTCAGCTTATGCGCGCAGCTAATCACTCTTGGGCCAAAATGACTTAAATGTCCTTCCCATTTGAATCTAATTACAAGTGTGCCAGGTATATTAACCAAAATCACTCATTTTTTTCTCTTTCACACAAATGGCCCAGGCGATTTCTGGCGAACCCAGGCGATTCCCGGCGAACAGTTGTTATTCTCTCTCTCTCTCTCTCTCTCTCTCTCTCTCTGGCGAAGCTCTGTTATCTCTCTGTCTCTCTGTTTGAACCATCGCGATCTGTCAACGCCGCCGTCGCCGTCGCCGTCGCCATCGCGATCGCGAAGCTCCGCCTGAAGTTCTGTCTGAACCATCGCGAAGCCTTAGTTCATCGTGATCTCTCAACGCCGTCGTCACCATCGCGAAGCTCTGTCTGAACCATCGTGAAGCCGTCGGTGATCTGTCTGAACCATCGCGAAGCCGCCATTGCGATCTGTCAAACCGCCGTCGATCTGTGCTACCGGAGCTAGGGTTTTCAAACCCTAGAAAATAAATTGAAAAAAAAAAGAAAAAAATCAATATTAATGTTAATTAAAAAAGAAAAAATTACTTTTCAGAATTAATATTTACTTTTCAAAATAAAATGAAAAACAATTTATTTCAAAAAAAATAAAATAATTGTAATGAATTTTTTTTTAATAAAAACAGAATTAATTTAAATTGATATTACAACATTACATTGAATTAATACAAAATTAATTGAAATAAAATAATATGCAATGACATCACAACATTAATTGAAATAAATTGATACAACATTACAGAATTAATTGAAATAAATTGATATTACAACATTAATTAAAATAATATGTAATGACATCACAAATTTAATTGTAATAATTAAACTGAATTAAACGAAATAAATTGAAAACAAAATAATAAAAATAATATTGAACAAAATAAATTGAAATAAAAATAAAAAAATAAATTAATCAAAATAATAATTAAAATAATTTATTAATATTGAAATAAATTGTGCAATTTATATCCATTAAATAAATTACACAATTTAATTGTAATGAAAAAGAATAATAAATTAAAGAAATAACAATTGTTATATTATTAATTGTAATAAAAATTGTTGATTATTAATATTATTTGATACTAATAAAAATTAATTATTAATATTAATTGATACGAATTAATAATTTTAGTAGTAATTCCGACTAATTAAGCTGATACTAATTAATAATTTTAGTATTAATTGATACTAATTAAGAAATTAATTGATACTAATTAATTTATAATGGAAAAAAATTATTACAATAATACAACTATTACATTTTTATCAAGTGTATCAATTTTTTTATATTAGTTTATACTAATTAATACTATTATATTAACTTTTATTACTGAAATAATTTTTTAAAATTAAAATTGAAAAAAAATGACAAAATTATCATTTTTATATCATATAAGGGCAAAAAAGTCAATTATACAGAAAAAAACCTATTTTACAGCTTATTTACCAAACACTATTCTGCAACTTAAATTTATAATCCCACAGCTACACCAAACAGGTTACCAGCTTATGCTCACAGCTGTAAGCTATAATCTGTAAGCTATAATCTATAATCACTTTCCCACAGTTCTACCAAACAGGGCTAATTGGGGAATGGAAGCTGAACTTCCTTTTGGTTCTCCCCAAAAACAGCCTTCCTTTTTTGAACCCATTTTTAAGAAACTCGAAAAAAAAAATTGGAAAATTGAAAAAAATGTATTTTATATTTCTAAAAGTTTTAAAAGAAAGAACAAAATTTCTAAATATCTCAAAAAAAACAAAAAAATGGATTATCAAGGGCATTCCGTTTTTAAAAAAAATAAAAAAAGAACTCTCAAAAGTAAATCCAATTCTATTATTTAGCACTTGAGCATCAGAATCTTTAAAACAAGGCCGTTAAAATCGAGATTCTAAGTTGGATCGTTGGAAGTGTTTATAGGATCGGATCGTAGAATTGGATCGAAAATCATAAGATCCTACTGAAAAAGACAAATTACATAATAATGTAATTTAAATAAATATTTCTTGAAAAATATACACAAAATGAGCCTATATTCTATTAAAAAGAAGTGAAGATATTGTGAAAAATATAATACTCCATAAAAAATATAATACTCAATGGTGAAAGTTTTGAATGTCATCAAAAAAGAAGGTGAAGAAGAAGAATTTTATAACAAAATACTTTACAATCTACAATAATGCATAAAAAGTGAAGAAAAAATATTTAACAAAGTTGGATATGAAAATAGATTAAGAATTCAAAACCGCAGCTTTACCGAATGAAAAGGTTTGTTGTTAGCATCTTTGGTGGAGCGGATTCGAGTCACAAAAATAATCTCTCCAAAAATTGGGATAAAGTTGTAATCATTTTACCCTCCTTAGACTCCGCTAAAGCTAAGTTTGTTTTTCCGACTAGTAAATTTTCTTAAATTACCACAATATTTGAATGTTTGTTTCTTAGTTTGTTTTTCTTAGTCTATTTGATTCAATACTACTTAAGTTTTATTATTTATTTTGACCACATAAATTGATATTTAGATAACAAATATAAAATTCACAATAAAATATGTCATAAAATACAAAACAAGACTTGTAAATTAGATCGGATTCGGATCGGGATTCCACGATCTTATAAAATTCCATTAACAGGATTTAAGATCCTACCTATAAGGAATTTTTTATATGATCCTGATCAATTGTACTCAAATGGATTGTAAGATCGTAGGATCATAAGATCTAGATTGGGATTCTGATAACCATGGTTTAAAATGGAAAAATAAGAGCTACCGCTTGAGCATCAGAGTGTTTAAAATGGAAAAATGCATGTTTGGCATTTGAGGGAAGATGAAAAAATTAGAATTGATTCTCACAATTCTTTATCAAATTTGATTTGTCAACTGTACCCTCAAAAATCATAAAAATTATGTATATAAATAATAGTAAAATAATTTTTAAAAATGAGAAATTACATGTGTATTTGTTCTCTCAAAGTTCGAATCCTAAATCTGTCAATCCATCATGAGGTTCATGTGACAAATTTAAATTGTTCAATTCGTACCACTTTCAAAACAAATCAAATCACATTTGTTATTAAAAATAATAGAAAATAAATATAATTTTAAGAACTAACCTATTGATTATTTTGAAGACAAAATGTGATCTAGTCATTTAATTACAGTTGTTCGATGAAACTGATTTTTTTACATCATTGATTTGCGTAGTTTGAATCATTGAAGTTGGTGGTCTCGCGATGGGCCTATTGAACACCAATAGGATGATCTAGTTGGCTTTACCACAATCTGTTCCAAATTAAAAATGTAAGAATTGCTTATCTCATAAAACAAGATGCAGCCACTATGCACAAATAATATCTCAACAAACCAACCAAACTAGGTACTAAGAATTCACCACCAAATAGGAATTT